CAGAGAGCAGGGCCAGAGAAGTCAGAGGGAAACTACAGCTTAGAACAGCCTTGTGACCTCAGCCAGGCACAGTGGTAGCAGGGCCTCCCTGCTATAAGACATGCTTTAGATGATACCCATGTGCATGGACAAGAACTCAGGGACTGTAGCTAACTGTAGAACAGCTTATTTTAGTTTCTGTTCTGTGGAAAGTAGAAAGTATTCCAGTGTAATATAAGCTCTTTTTTTTTGCACCCATGTTGTTGACTGTTAAATGTAAGTCTCATCATGATGCTGAATAAGTGTCTTTAAAAAAAAAAAACTTTCCTTATGGAAAGAGTATGAATATTTATAAAGGTTACATAAAGCAGCAGTTAATACAGTATTATTCCCAGTGTGTACTTTCTATGGTGATTCACTAAGGTTGCAAATTTTAATGGTTTAACACAAAAGTGTACTTCTTATTCACACTTTGACCTGATGAGAACTGCACATCAGGTTTCTCACTCCTACCTCAACTATCCAGAATAAGATATGGGATGCAAGGTCAAAGCTGGAAAACTACCCTCAGTGCCAGCGGTGGCAGGGCCTCACCAGGTCTGGAAATGGTTTAATGTTACACTTGCCCATGTTCTACTGGCCAGAAATAAGTAATGGCTCCACCTAATTACAAGCAGGAAGACACTGGGAAATTGTGTATTCCTGTCTGTACAGAAGTAATTACACAGCTTTGATTGTGACATCACACACACATACTAACTTGGACTTGCAGGTCCCACTTTTGAGTCTTCTGAATTGGGTGTAGTTGTGCTTATGTTCCCAGCATCCCATGAAGTTGAGAAGACCATCCCAAATTCAAACCCAGCCTGGGAAACTTATGATTTTGTGAGAACTTGTCACAAAACAGAAAAGCCAAAACGACATTGGGGATGTAGCTCCGTGCATATGCCTCAAGTTCAATCCCAGGGGTGAGGGGGACCTATGTGCTTCAATGTACGGACTCGTGTTCATCTCATTCTCACAGCCACACAGTGGCACACATCTGTAATCCCAGCACACCTATAAACTCAAGTAGGATTGGGAATTTCAGCCCAGCCTGGGGGATTCTGCCAAGATTTGAGTGGGTGGGGGAAGTCCTTATAGCCACAAATCAGCACATAAAATTAACAATTATGTAATCCAAAAGGCATTCAATGGACATAGTATTCATTTGAAATTCAGGATCAAGTATGGTGGCTCATACCCGTGACTTCAGTACTTGGGAGGCTCAGGCAAGAGGATCAAAACTTTGGGCCCAGGGGCTGGGGAGATAGCTCAGTAGAATAAGTGCTTGCCTGGCAAGCACAAAGGCCTGAGTTCAATTCCCAGGTCTTCAAAAAAAAAAAAAAAAAAAAAAAAAGTGTGGAAATGTAGCTCAGCACAAAGGCCCTCGTTTCAATCCTGAGTACCATAAATACATTCTTCAAATTATTTTTTTAATCAAAACATTTGGAGGCTTCAGGATGTAGTACAGCAGTAGATCCTCCACTTAATCTATACAACACTCTGGTTTCAATCCTCAACCCCCCAAACAAAAACACCACTTGGAATTTGTATTTGGTTTTCAAGTTTTACCATGATGTGCTAATGTATATTGTATTCATCCTGCAATTTACAGGCTTGTATTTCTTTAGTTCTTGAAAATCCTTACCCATTAAAAAATGCCACCTTTTGTTCATATTTAATGGCTGCTGCCAAAACAGCAAAACTCTATTTTTGGTATTAGAGACCCAGCCTAGGGCCTTCACACTAAGCTACTGCAGCCAAAAATACTGACAGGTTTGGTAGTGTACACCTATAATCCCAGAATTCAGGAAGTTGAGCCAGAAGGATCACTGGGCTACAGAACAAATTCAAGATCAGTGACATCCTCAACTACAATGAGATCCTCTCCACAAACCAAAAAGATTTTGCAACTCTATGGATAGAACCTAGGTCCAACTTTACACTAAGTTGTGTCTCCAGCCATTTTTTTTTTCTTTTTTTTTGAGACCTGGGCTTACTAAGTTGCTGAACTGCCAAGACTGAGCTCAAAGTTGCAGTTGTCCTGCCTCAAGCTTCCAGAGTGCTTGGGAGTACAGGTATGTGCCCCCAATGCCCAGGTGACAACAGGAAGTCCAAAAGGAAGAGGGTACTCTCATCCTCAGAAATGCCTAAGTTCCTGCTTAGGCAAGCACAGGGACTGGACGTGACAGTGCATGCCTTTAATCCTAGGGCTGAGAGGTTTGAAAACAGGAGGATTACTATGAGTACAAGCTGAATAGTAAGACCCTACACAAAATAAATAAATAAATAAATAAATAAATAAATAAATGCCTAGTATTTTAACACGAGCTCCTGATTTTCAGCCTTTCATATTTCTTTTTGGATATACTTCCCTATATTTGGATAGCACTCCAGTCATCTTTCAGTTACACAATACACAAATTCATAAAAACTAAGTTGGAGTAAAAAAATGATAAATTTGAGGATTTGTTGCAAATATATCTGAATGTGCTCACAGGTAAAAACTGTTAGGAACACAACTAGAGAGCAAGGACATCATGAATTAGTAACAATTCCCAACACTTATCATGCACAAGTTCTTACTCTTGGTGGCAGAGCAATAAGGGAAAAAAAGACGAAGTTCTTGCTACTGTGGAGCTTGCATTCCACTGGGAAGCAGATAACAAAAATGTAACTGTCCAAAGTAGTTCTATTGTTTCTCAAAAAAATTATGGGAAAAAAAAAACCAAAGTAGTTCTAAATGTTTTAAAAATAGAAGAGAAACATTAATAGTGAAGGCAGGGAGTGGCAGCTATCACACACAGGGTCTTCAAATGGCAAGAAGAGGGGTTGCAGCCATTTCAGTATCACTCTATACTCTTTTTGAAAACACTCTCAGCTAACTTAAGTTTATTTCTACCAAGCTGCAGCCTCCCTGATTATTGTTTGGAAGGAGAGGTCCCTAACCATATAGATAGCCAACAGGTTTTCTACAGTATTATCTCAGCTGGGTGGGGTAATACATGCCTATTATCCCAGCACTTATGAACCTGAGGAAGGAGGACTGCTTTGAGTTTAAGGACAGCCTAAATCACCCTGCCTCAAAACAAAACAAAAAACACAAAAAATCAAAAAAACAAAAACAAAAACAAAAAATCTCAAAAAAACAAAGAAAGAAAAATGGCTACATCAGTTCTAACTTCATGAAAAAAAAAAAAAAAAAGTACTTTAAGCCTGAAAACATGACTTATTCTAATAACATCACTAATTCTTTATACACTTTTAACAGTAGTAGGGATCCTGCCCGTAGCTTCAGCATGCTAGACAACTGTTCAGCCAAGTCACTACTTCCCTGACGTTAGTACTTTTCCTTTTAAATGTCAAGACAGTGCTTTAGGGCCAGGGAAATAGCTCAGTGGAATAAGTGCTTGCCTGACAAGTGCAAGGCCCTGAGTTCCACCAAAAATAAATAAATAAATAAATAAATAAATAAATAAATGAATGATGGAAGCTTCTACTTTGTAGGTAAACAAGTCCATGTTCTCTGTGTTCCACAAAATACAACTGGAACCATCAAAATATCTAGAACTTTAATTTAAAAATTAATTTAATTAATTTCCATGGTCCGGCATCATGGCACATGCCTAAAATCCCAGCACTTAGAAGAGTCTAAGGCAGGAGGATCACTATGAGTTTCAGGCCACCCTGAGCTACATGAACAAGTCCAGCTTGCAATATACACTGCAAGGCTGTCTCAAAAAAAGAAAAAGCAAAAACGAAAATAGAGGAACAGCCCCTTGGCAGAGTGATTACAACACATGCAAGGCCCTGAAACTGACCCACAACACATAAAAAGTTTTGTGTGAAGATTGAACACAGAACCTCAGGCATCTAAGCAAATAACTCTACCAGTGAGCTACACTACTCCTATAGAAAAGATTTTTTAGTATAGTTAAAGATTTTTTTGAACCAGGTTAAGTTCAGTCAAGGACTTGGTAGTAAGGAATGATCCTAGGGCCTTAATACCAAGTACATCCCCAGAGCTACTTCTGAAGACAAGGTCTTACACTGTCTTCCACAGTGCTAGGATTATAGGCCTGGGCATTAAAGCCGATGGTCATCCTTTTAAACTACCTTGCTTCTTGTTGTGACACACAGGGAAGAACATTTCACTGTAGTAGTATGCACTGTATACCTCTGGGATATAGGTGGCTCTGCAGTTCTGTTCATTTACTGTTTTAACAATCACTCCAAAGATACTTTTTGGGGCCGGGGAGATGGCTCAGTAGAATAAGGGCCTGCCTGGCAAGCACAAGGGCCCGAGTTCCATCTCCAGTTCCACAAAAAAATAAAATCAAAAATTCTTTTTGAATTAACCACTAAGAAGAATATATGCAGTGTATTATTTGTTGAAAAAAAAATAAAAAAAAAATTCTTTTCGGTTTTTTAATACAGGGTCTAGGACTGGGGAGATAGCTCAGTGGAATAAGTGCTTCCCTGGCAAGCGCAAAGACCTGAGTTCAATTAACGGTTCTGCAAAAAAAACAAAACAAAACAGGGTCTAATTATGTAATTGAGGTTGGTCTCAAAAACTTGCAGTCATCTTCCTGCCTCTGCCCCAGTGAGTGCTGGGATTACAGGTATGTACCACACTCACTCAGCAAAAAAAGGATTTTTAAAGAGTTGTTAATGTTTGTCTACAGTTACATAAGGGAACCATTTATACCTTTTCGTGTGTGTGGTGCTGGTGATTAAGTTTCATGTCTTCAATGGTGTTAGGCACTCTACTGAGCTATGTCCCTACAAGTGAGCTGTACAGACACAAAAACTGGAAATGGTTGTTCACATTTTCACTGTATCCATTTACTTGTCTAGAGAAAACAGATTGCTGAAAATCAAGCCTAACGCTACATTAATGAACTCTAAGGCCATTGACAATTTAAGTGCTCTCTCATACAAAGCATCAAAAAGTTAATACAAGTACTAGTCTTAAGCAATCACAGAAGTCTAAGCCACATTTATTTGCACATGTATAGTAATGGGCAACAGACACTCAAAGTTCATACAAATTCATAAAACGACAAAGTTAATAATCACTTGGTACACTTGTGTGCTATCTTGCTTACATATTCAAGTATAGATGAACTTCCTTCATTTTGTAAACTTTCATACAATACTTCCTTAGATGAAAAAATCCTTGAAACCACAGATTGGCATGTTTCAGTTAGAGCCAACACAAAGGGTAAGATGAGACCACAAATGCAAAAACCAAAAGATTAGAAGATACTGTACTTCTACCTCCTTCCCCTAGAAAGTGACTTTAACAGTTTATATATGCTGTTATCACACAAGTAACCATGAAGACAAAAGAACGATGCCCCCATAATTAGGAAGAAAATGACAACCAAATCATCGTTTTTATCTACCAACCATATGGTTTAAGAAAACAAGAAAATGCTCAGATTAAAACAAGGGAAATTAGGAAATAGTAAATGATCTTTAAGGAGAACCATTCCCTCACAGCCACAAAGACTTGATTCCGATAACTCAAAAATGTACTGTCTGAGGCAAGTTAAGTGAGGAAACCTCAGTAACATTCTGTGTTTAGCATCTAACGATAAAAGCTGAAAATGTATCAAGAGGTTATTTAGTATACAAGTGTCAACAAGGACATCTCAAAAATAATGAAAGAAATGCACATTTATTTCTACAAAAGCAATATATGATACAGAATTACAGTAGAAGGGAACAAGACTTAAAGATTTACCTATTAAAATATACAGATTCTTACTGAAGAGTATGATATTTAAAAAAGATGACAAGGGATGTTAATCTTTTTTATTATTATTATTTATACATATTTTGGAACCTCACATAATTTTGATAAATAACTCTTACAAAATTATGCAAAAAGTACAAGAATGTCTGGTAAACAAACAGTCTGTATTTTCCAAAAAGATTTTTTACAACATGCATTTCTTAAGGCAGCATCCTCCTTACAAGGAAAGGTAATCCTTTTACTCATCAAATCTTCTGCTGCGAATAGGCTAAGAAAGCCTGGATTCTTCCATTAACGCCTTTTGTCTTTCCTGTCTGATTTTCGGTCTCTTTCACTTCTTGAAGATCTTTTGCCTGATCGACTACTCTCTGATATAGACCTCTTTCTGTCAGAGCGGGAATTCTTATCCTTCGATCCTTTTGCATCCCTACTACTCCCACCTTTGGAAGATTTGTGACTTCTTTCTAGTCCTGAAGTATCCCTCCGCTTCCGATCCACGCTCCTTCTGTGCTTCCTATCTCTATTATGTCCCCGGCCTCTGCTCCGACTTCTACTGTCACTACTACTAGTAGTGCTGCTGCTACTATCTCTGCTGCTGCTCCCAGTCGTGCTGGAGCTGCTG